TATTTTAATGCATTCCTCTACCCAGAAAATGTATATATTGACACCAAGATTGACTTTCTAAGTGGCTTGGAAGACATATTGGCACTTATAGACTTTACATGGCCGCCATATTAGAACCGCCAACTTGATGAAGTGCAAAGTGAAAATTGAAAGCTATTGTGATGGAGACTATGTGGAAAAAATTTGGTGCTTTTGTCCGACGTGTCCCCATAATTTTCCTTGCCACCATCCTAACTTTTTTGAATCATGTTGTTGGCATCAAATTCAAACTGGGCATTTCATTTTCCAAAAACAATAAAATATCACAGTTTCAACAATTTACGTTGTCTTTGAGCAATTTTCATTGAAATATGGGGATTCAATGTTTTTTAGATTCTACATGTCCCAACTTTTTAGGAATTTTTCTGTAGATCAGAGTTAAATGAACGTAATCAACACAACTTTCATTTAGATGCAGAACCGAATAAGACTCCTCCCCCCAATGAGTGCTGGATTCTGATCTTCTGTCTGTGTCCAGTTGTATCTATTGTCTCCGCTCTCCTCTCCTCACTTGTGGTCTATCACTGCTGTAAGAAGGGTAACTACCTCACTTTTTCTAGAATATGTATCCACTTAAGTGTTTTAATCACAAAGACACCTTAATCTCTTCCACTGTGTGAGTTTCATTGTGCTGTACTGATGTTATATTTATTCCTGCAGCTGAAGAACATCCTGTTGATCAGCAAAGACCTGACACTAGAGGTCATCCAAGACAGAGCCAGGTATCTATCATTAAAGTGTAATGTATCAAAGCATTAAATATGTTCAAGGTTGGGCTTCTAAATGACAAATATCCAATCTTAGGTGACGATGTGTGCTATGCTGCTGTGGAAATCCGTCAGAAATCAAAGAGACCAAAGAAGAAGAAGGAACCGCAGACTTCTGACTTCTGCACCTATTCTGCTCTTAATACATCTAGGTATGTAACAGGCCTAAGACCAGAGGAACAAAAAAATAATTTTGTAATGTTGACATAAACATCGAACAAAAAGTAAGGACATTTGTGTTTGGTAGATTTATTTCTTTGTTGTAACAATGCTTCTTGGCAATAAATCTTATAACTTTGGAAAGACTGTTTATTTCCCTTTTAAATGGTGCCACATTTGTAAGGAACATGCAATGTGGGATGAGTAGCAGAGCTGAGTATGAAAATTCAAAAACTTGAAAAAACATAGAAAAAACAGCTTATTCGTTTAGTGGATTGATGATTTTTTTTTTTATTGAGTTTTTATTTTGAGACACAAACAGTAACAGCAAAACAGAAATGAACTAAACAAAACCCACCCAAGCTAACAGGATTGGAGGATTAAAATCTGAAGAAACAAGACACATTGGCAATTTAACAATTTATTGATTTAACAAACAGGAGCCTCAGTATCGTGTGGAAGGCAAGGCTCTTTCTGCTCTGAGGTTGCCCAACTTAGATTTGACCACATTTTACCCAAACTGTGTAAAAAATGACAACCTTGAATAAAGGTTCTCATGGAATCAATTAGAATTTCTGTTGAATTTTGTCATCAATCTTATCACTTTTTTGTGGCTCCTGTTGGGCTCAACCTTTCTTAGATCTGCTTGACCTTTTGACAGAGATACACCAACAACGTACTTTGATTAATTTGAATATTTATTACAAATAGATGGTGAAAATAATATTCATTTCTTTAAATGTACTCTGTGACTCCACAAACTCTTCCTAACAACGTGAATGTGTCTGAAGACATTGACGAATTGGATGATAATCGGCCACGAGCGTCGTAGTAGGATGATTAACGTCATTGTGATAGTAAACAAGGGTCTTCAAAAGCTGCTTCTGCTGAACATCTGCCGAAGAACTAAGTGTTAATTCATGACCACAGTTGGCCTGGTGGTTGGGTTGCCCCGAATGTGAGAAAGCTCTGGTCCTCTGGGTGGACGGGTCTGGGTTCCATTACCACGTTATTCCCCCCTCTCTCTTTCCTGTTTACTACTCTATACACCGTCTTATCAAGTGAAGGCAAGAAGCCAGAAAACAAACAAAACAAACAGTTAATTCAACACCACTATCTGACTTTCTGACACCATTTTGACTCCGCCCACAAAACGCATCATCACTGTGTACAAATATAACAGGTCTTTAAACTCGGACTCTAAAGACTTTGTGAGAAGTTTGAAGTGGAGCTTGTGTGATGTCCGCTCATACAAAGCCAATCTATTTGTTCGTCCATCTGCAACCAAGAACACAACTCTGGTGAAACATGTGTCTTCATCCTGAAAGGTAAACTCCTGGTGGAACATTTTTTTTAATTTTTTTTTCATGGGAGTAACCACGAGACATTTTGGTCTTTCAGGTCATCGTCAGGGCAACAATTCAATCAGAAGACGTGTTGCCTTTTTTGTAATGTTGCTTCGGCATAAAAACACAATGTTAGTGACAAAGGGCATCAAAACCATAATACAGGACTGCACATGAAAACAAAAACCATAAAAAAAAAACTCAAATTAAAATACATCATTAAAACATAACATGATTACATGTTGGGAGTTCAATAGCAAGTTCAATTAATCGCAGAGTGCCAAATAAAGTGCAGAGTGCTATGATCAAACATGTTTATAAAGGATCAAGCAGCTTGTTTCTCTATAAGATAAATGTAAAGTTATACTGATTTAATGTGACTGTTAAGGACCAAGAAGCTAGGCAAGAGACAACAGGAGTTTTTATTTTACTCAAAGATGAATACAAAATGTACAAACCCCAAATTTCTTAGCTTTAAAAGTGAAACTATAACTGAACATAACTCTACTGAACATGAGAAAAGCTAAGGTGTGAACTCAGTGAACCGACCTAATGCAGCCCCCCCCCCCCTTCCCCCATGACATCAGAGCATTTGGTCTGGTCTAAAGAGGAGCCTTCAGGAAGCAGGAAGTCCTGCCCCCACCCACTAGTCATGTTACTGAAAGACAGAGAAATAATGATTAGCACAGTAACAGAAGTTATTGTTTAATTTTACACTAAAACAAACTGTTTTAACTGTCTGGTTGAATGACTCCAATTTTGTTGGGGAACTGAAAAGTAAGAGTGTGGGTGAAAGTGATATCATGGTTGTGTGCAAGGTGTAAGTGTCATCACATTCACCCTCAGTGCAGCTACTTCAAATTATGAAAGAAGAATAGATTTATGGGTCGCTGTTTGTGAGAAATCCCCCATCGTAAGATCATATCAGTACATAGTGGAGGCTGAAAGAAAGTTGAAAGAGTTCAAACAACACTTAAACTGTGACTGCAGTACATGTCGCTGTCCAAAAAATGACACACGAGCTTCTTAAGTTGCCAACTCATCTTCAACAGATTTTCCGACCATAAAAAACAACATTTTAGCCTTCTCAGACAATGCCTGAAAAACCACTTGTAGGATTTTTGTGTTCTTATACATTTAAAACATGTTTGTTTCATGGCACATAAAACCTACGCAGCCTGAACTGAACATGTGTATCCTTATACACAGCTCAGGCATATTTCCTCTCCTCTATATAAATGTTGGCATTTGATGGTCTGATTCAATATTTATGGCCGCCCCTACGGTGGGGAAAAAGAGTAAAGCTTGGGGCAACATGTCTGATATGTCCTTAAGCAAGACACTCAAGCCAAAGTTGCTCCAGCTACTTCGTCTGCGGTGTAAAAGTGCTTTGAGTAGACTGAAGAATAGAAAAGTGCTATGCAAGCTCAAGTCAATTTAAGATATTTCTGGGGAAAGATTGCATGGGAAGGACCCATGGAGGCTTGCACAAACAGGTTCATCCTAACTTAAAGCAACAATGACCACCTTTTCTTGCGGTGTATTTCTACATTTGCAAATCTTTTGAACCTCCAGAAGATTTTACCATATTTTACCAAACTGTGTAAAAAATCATGTTTCCTCACTGAAAAACATCAGGCTGCCTTAGTCAGCCACACCTCGACTTAAGGTTCTCACTGAATAAATTGAATTAATTTTTGTTGATTTTTGACATCAATCTTAGCCTATCACTTTTTTTCTGTGTGGGTCCCTTGGGGTTCGGCCTTTCTTAGATCTGCTCGACCTTTCAACAGAAACAAACCAACAAAGTTCTTGGCTTAATGTGAATCTTTATTACAAATAGATGGTGAACATAAAGGAAGAATACATGTACATTAGTAATGGTTACAACATAGTTACACATGATGAATAAATTGGAAACAGTATGCAAACTAAAACGGGATTAATGTTAAAAAAATTAATTCATTGTGTGAACTAGTTAAAATGAAATCTGAGTCTTCCTCCTGAAAGTGCAGCACTGTGGTGCCCAGGAAGGCCATGTATTGGGTTGCACAGTTCTAAGCCTGGCAGCTCTCTTGCTGTCACTTTTAGTCGTGTCAAAGTAATCTTTGCTATAATAACGATACTTGTTTACTTGTTTACTTGTTGAAAATATCTGTTTTGTTGATGTTTATGTCTCTGAAGACATTGACAAATTGGATCCTAATCGGCCATCGAGCGTCGTAGTAGGATGATTAACGTCATTGTGATAGTAAACAAGGGTCCTCAAAAGCTGCTTCTGCTGAACATCTGCCGAAGACCCAATTGTTAATTCATGACCACAGCTGACCTGCTGTTGGGTTGCCCGAATGTTTGGAAGCTCTGGTCCTCTGGGGGTGGTTCAGGTCCGGCCTGTGGTTCCATTACCACATGTCATTCCCCCCTCTCTCTTTCCTGTTTACTACTCTATACACCGTCTTATCAAGTGAAGGCAAGAAGCCAGAAAACAAACAAACAAACAGTTAATTCAACACCACTAGCTGACTTTCTGACACCATTTTGACTCGCCCCAAAACGCATCATCACTGTGTACAAATATAACAGGTCTTTAAACTCGGACTCTAAAGACTTTGTGAGAAGTTTGAAGTGGAGCTTGTGTGATGTCCGCTCAGACAAAGCCAATCTATTTGTTCCGTCCATCGACACACAAAACACAACTCTGGTGAAACATGCGTCTTCATCCTGAAAGGTAATCAGACACAGTAACATGAGTGTCATTAGTACAGAGTCTCTACTGCTGCAAAGATGTCTAATGGTTCTGAGACCATGAAAATACCAAAGAAAGTCCTTACCTGATTCACTGTACTTTCCTCTCCCATGTCAGGTCTTCTCTCAGTCATTTGATCTTTTTCATCTGTAGAATCATAAATAAAAGGTTTCTTGTTAGACAACGACTTCATTCATTCAATGATCCATCACAATCAATATGATTCATTTGTATTTAAGTCGATTCAAAATGTCTATACTTAACAGGTAAAAAGTGATTGTAGTGTATTTACCTGCATTCTGACTGCAGAGATAAACAAAAGTCAGGCACAGGAAGGTGGAGAGGACCGTGATGGCTGGACTGAACACCATCATCCAAGATACACCAGGCTCAACATGGGGTGGACCGATGGAGTCACCGGAGTCACTGGAGCTAGGTCAAATATAGAATGTCAAATATAGAATGTGGATTAGATGTTTAAAATGTTGGTTTTCAATGTATCTAATTTTTCTCTGGTGTGCAACCACAGCCTGTAAGAATGAATGGACTAAGCCAGAGTGACATCACCCGTCTGTTACTGCAGGGGGCTTTGGAGTCCCATCGGTGGCATTATAACCACTGACAAAACATTGGAGCTTGTAATGATAGTCATACGAGTGATGAAGGAGAGAGCTACGAGTTTGATCAGATCTACTGCACGTTTTAATTAGCAGAAGAAAAATGAGCCACTGCATGGAAACCTTTGACTTAATTCACAATGTGAAAAGTATTCAGATATTTAAACATATTTGTTCTTCTTATCTCAACATATCTGCATTAAATGTCTTTTTAAACTAATTTCTCAGGTACCTCCTGTTGCCCACCCACTTATTTAGGCTTTCCACATTTCCTGTCTTTGCTGTTGTTATAGTCACTTTGGTCATTGGTGATCATCTCTCTGCTTTGTTCTGTCACATTGTACTTCTATAGAAGCATATAGAGTAATGAACACATACCACAAAATCTGTACATTTCTCCAAATTTCACATTTCTCTACCAAAACTCCATAGAGCACCTTTAAAAAAACACAGTATAAGTGTGCTGATGATCTCAGCAGATGATGTCATGGTCTTACATGGGTGTTTCAGTACGCTGAGAGCCTCCCCTTGTGTTCTTTAGAGAGTGTTGCCTGTGGATAGACATTTTCTCTTATTTTAGAAATCTTTTTTAATAAATATCTTTTTACTTGTAAATGATGTGCAGTTTAAGCTCATTATTGCAACTACTACTTTGTGCAATCTTTACAGTCTTTATCTTCATAAACTCACGACACACTAAAATACAATTGTTGGTTGTTGGTCTTTTGTATAAAATTAAACTTTATACAAAAGACCAACAAGAAAAAACTGCCTTATTAAAAGTCAGAAATCTTCGGCCTGATCCCGGGCTCATCAGCCTTCACAGGCCTAGACTGCGCCGGGCTTGGAAAGGGATAGGGGGAGAGATGGGATAAAATTCAGGAAGAGGGATAGGGAGTAAGGGGGTGGGGTTGGGGGGTTGGGGGTTTGGGGGTTGTTCTGGCAGGCCGTCAACCAACAATTTCAAGGAGCCTAACCCCCAATTTACACATATTCCGTGCGTGCCGTGGTCTGTCAGTTCCACGGTTTTGCTCCTTCGGACGGCTCGCGCCCATTCACACTGGATCTGTTTCTGGGACGTCAGCACACCTATGACACATCACAGGACAACTACAAGATCCCGCGGGAATAAAGAGTAAAACATGCAAACAACATGTTGCTTTGTCTTTCTGAGGATGCATTGTGGTTAATTCGGTACCTGTTTTGACGTAATGTTGATAAAGTGATGAAAAATACGATCGCGAGTCTGCATATTGTGTTTAATTTTAAAATTGACTGGACGCTCTGTGCGTTTCCTTGTCTGACTTCCTGTCCGGGCTGTCATATTCTGTCCAGCTTGACGCGTGCCTGCAGCGTACTCCGGCGAAAACAGACTCGCTGCCAGAGGTGTAAAGAGTACTAATATATTCTACTCAATTAAAAGTACTGTTACTTTGCTAAAATGTTACTTAAGTACAAGTAAAAGCACCAGATTAAAAATGTACTCAAGTAAAAGTAAAAAGTAACTTGTTTAAAATGTACTTTAAGTAAAAGTTACTTAGTTACTTTTTTTTAACAACGCATCTCTCGTGTTGTGAAAAAAGGACGAGAGGAAATTAATCTCAAAGTTTTTTTAATTAACGGCAAATCTTAACAAAGATTTATCTTTTCTGATAAACATTTTCTCATAGCCTAAAAACAAAATATACATAATGATGGATAAATAATCAAGGATTATATGTTCAAGTAATCAGCTGTTTTATGAAGGGAAATGTTTAAACTATTTAAGAAAATACTAAAAGGATCTTTGTCTCAATCATGAACAGTGTAAAGAGTATTTTAATGTTTTTAGTTTTATTATTCTGAGGCTGGTTAGTCTCAAAGACAGCATCAAAGGCTGATTTAGCTGCAAATAAACCTGAGATGAAAGATAATTCATTTATTGTTTTAAAATGAGCCTTTATGAGCTTAAATATTAGATGTCTTAGTCACTGTTTGTTTACCTATTAGCTACTGAAGCTTCTAACTGAATCTGTTTGGTTTGAAGTATTTATTTTCACACGTCTCAGATGTGTTAAGTTGCAGCAGCTTATAACACCCACTTTCCTCATACGTCTGTTTCAAAAGAAAAGCACATCACAGAGATGTCAATAAGGGACTTTTATTGTGAAAAACTTTCCGGAACTAAATGTGTTTATCGCTCGGAGCTGCAGCGGCGATTGTAGTCGCGAACGCTGCAGTGAGAAAAAGCATCCTCAGCCACTTCTTTGCCCAAGAGTAAGAACCACAGCCAACTTATTTTAATCATGTTGGACTTAAGACAATGAGACATCAGTTTATAAACACCTTCAGCAGGTAGACCCACAGTAGAGGAGGAGCTTATCCGTGCTGCACTAGCTGTAGTGGCATCTCTCTCTGTATCTCTCTCTGTCTCTCTCTCTCTCTCTCTCTCTGTCTCTCTCTGTCTCTCTCTCTGTCTCTCTCTCTGTCTCTCTCTGTCTCTCTCTGTCTCTCTCTGTCTCTCTCTCTGTCTCTCTCTCTGTATCTCTCTGTCTCTCTCTCTCTGTCTCTCTCTCTGTCTCTCTCTGTCTCTCTCTCTGTCTCTCTCTCTGTCTCTCTCTCTGTATCTCTCTCTGTCTCTCTCTCTGTCTCTCTCTCTGTCTCTCTCTGTCTCTCTCTCTGTCTCTCTCTGTCTCTCTCTGTATCTCTCTCTCTCTCTCTGTCTCTCTCTCTGTCTCTCTCTGTCTCTCTCTGTCTCTCTCT